TCGTGCCTAAATGACCTCATTCGCCGCTCCAAAGTTACTTTGCGTACACCCATCATACTGCTTACTTCGCTATAAAAAATTCAATTGCCCCTCGTGTATATCATACGAAGGACCTACGAAGGTTTTCCACGGCATAAACTTGTGCTGGAAATGCAGAGTTATTCAGAGTTATTCATGGTGGAATAGCGCTACCGCTGCTCAAATTGGTTTAAATTTTTGCAAACCCTATCCAGAAATTCCAAAGTGCATGCAGATGTCGTCGATTCTAATATTTACAAGATATCTCTTTAAAACGTCAAATCGTATTGCCAATCCCTCTACACAATTTGGGTCACCAAGGCTAGCTGTCTAATCGTGATATTATATCCTCAATAATGTTCAGTGCACCATGATTTTCATCACTGATTCCGCTCGTTCGTAGCCGCCATATAGGAATATGCCAGGGGAGAAGTTTAACGAAGTGCTAATTAATATTGGCGGATATTTAACGCGGTGCTATATAACCGCCAATATCCACTTCTCAAATTCATGTAGTGATGCGTTTTCAACCTGTTTTGAAACTTCAACATTGAAAATCACTTCAATATCTATACTTCAATGTTGTATTTCACTTAAATTTGACACGTTCAATATTTAAATTAACATCAATTAGGGAAACATGTTGAAATTGAAGCAATGTTGAATTAAAGTGGCATGCTGAATTTGATATGTTCAATGTCGAAATTTACTTCAATACGGAAACATGTTGAATTAATATCAACATGAATATTGGCGGAAATCTGACGCCATAGGGGACACCCCCACACCCCCCTCTAGCTATGCTCCTGAAGGCAGTAGAGCTATCTTTCTAAACCTACTAGCTAGCAACTCCAAAAATGATGTGGAGCAAACTATCTCGGGCTGGAGATCCATACCAATGGAAATCTCGTACCCAGAGCAATGCCTTGCGCTGGCTAGGAAGGCATTGGCTCTGGGGAAATTGACAACCGAAACCCCTAAATTTAGGTGTTTCGATTAACGTTAAACCAATCACAGCACAGGGGAAATTCAATTTCCCCAGAGCCAATGCCTCCCTTACCTGCGCACAGGCATTGCTCTGGGAACGAGATTGTTCCAGTGGCGAACCTAACAGTAACTGGTCATGCCATGACAGATTTTAATAATTATTTAGATTATTCAAACCTTTAAGAATGTATAAGCTAATTCAGTAGTCATCAAGTATCATGCAAGGTACAGATTGACCCATGCAGCCAATCATCACTATAGTGACTATAGACTTTTGTTGGTTAAGATTTTTCGTGACCTCCCAATGTTATTATTTACCAGTAGCAATAGCTGCTATTACTACTACATGGTTAGCTGCGATAGACATATACCAACCTGCACGCCGTAGACTTTAACTTTGTTATACTGTTTGATCAAGCATTTCGATCGTTTCACGAAATTATTGTGTGACCTCTTGGTCCACCATGAACGAATATTTCCATTTTCGTCGAACTGACTGCCTGTTGTTAGGGAGGATTTGAATTGTAAACATGACCGCGAGTATTTGCTTAAATTTAACAGTTATATGCTTCAAAATATTAATGCTGCGTTTACATTATACCAGATGGCTTTCCGTAGCGACGGAAAACCGTATGGCATAGGTTGACCGGGGGGAGTTAGGGTGGTGCGCACCCATCCAAGCATGGCAAGAGGTTGCTAAATTGCGTCTTTAAAATGCATTTTATTACTTTTAAAAGGCAATTACATAATAAAAAGTAAAATGGAGACAATATGAGATAGTAAAATATTTGTGCTATTGTTAAGCAAGACTATACAGACTAGTTCTTTGCCACCTTCTCACTTGTGATTACCCATGTGGTCAACGGTTGCACCATGCATGAACCATGACCACGACCAAACTCTGTGAATCCTCCTATTCATTTACCATCTTACCTTGCTTGTCAAAGCCATGGGTGATTTCATGACCCACGATCGTCCCAAGAGAACCATATGTTAACGCCCTGGAATTTACCACAAGAAATTTGCAATTTAATTTTAATTTGTTTTTGGCTTACTGGCTTAATTAATATTAATTAAAAATTATTTAATTCTGGTTGGCTGAAGGAGCAGTGAAATATTTAGCAAATAGATAAATTTTGCCGTTGTCTGTTCGGTTATAGATACACAGGCGTCATAATGGGGAAGAACAAAAAGTGGTTCACGAGCCGCCGATGCGAGCTCGAGTGGGTCACATTTTCGACGAGTTCACGGATGTTGCGAAGCAGCGTCTGTGAGTCTTTGAGTCTGAGAGTTGCTTGAGTGTGGGGTGAGTGTGGGGTGAGTGTGGGGTGAGTGTGGGGTGAGTGTGGGGTGAGTGTGGGGCAGTTAAAGAAAAAGAGTTATTGTGATGGCAAAAATATAATATTTACCAATTAACTTACTGTGATATTATTCTTTCGTAGTTAGTAATTCTGTAAGAATGGGTTTATTTTACGAGGAAAGAAATAAGAATGCAGTACCACAAAAACGGCGGATATTGGAATTCTCATGTGTTTCATGCATACAATTAAGTGAATTTGTTTCTGCATGATGTTTTATGTATATTATTGATTAGTAATAATAGACTAATAGTATGGTTTCTCGCGCAATTTGGGGAAAAAACATACATGTAAACTCATGTAAAATTTCCATTATTAAAATACTTAAAACTGGTATAATAATAGCATTTATGATTTTCGCTTATTGGCATATATAAACATTGTACGTTGCAGGGGTATTTGTTAAATTCTGAAGAACAAAAACATTACATTACTTTAGTGTGTCACCTCTGTAGAATGGTGGTTGTAATATTCCTGCTAAAACAGCTGCAAGATAACCAAAAAATATCGATAAATGCAGAAACAAAAGCATAGTGTTAATGAAAAAATAGAAGCTCACAAAGCATAAGGTCATGGAAAAAATAGGACGAAAAGTGGACGAAAAGACATATTAGGAAACTAGGGGTACCAATGTGCAGGGACTTCATACCTCCTTCAACAAAATATTTCAATTTTCACTCAAGTTAAACTTGGCGCGCCAATTGTTTTGTCGAAATGTTTGAACGTTTAATTATACGAAAAGTTTTATTATCACCCGGTGTATGTTGTCAAGGCCATTTCTCAATGTCGTCAAAATCATTAGATTATGATTAGTGCTAGAATAAATACAGTTCAATTAACGGACATTGTGATTGGCAAGCCATTGGGAGTGAAAATCGCAGTAACTCGAGTATTTAGGCATATTAAATTATACATGCACTAATTACGCATCAGTCGTTTTCAGTCTAAAAAGCAAAACAAACTTTTGTACATTTCTCATTCGAGTTTTAGCCAAATCGAACAAAAGTTTAATCTGTTTGTCTTTGACCTTATGACCATCAGCACCACAAAGTTTCGTATTAAACTGTTACATAGTTTGTAAGCCATTAATTCTAGTCTAATTGACAAACACAAACAAACAAACAAACAAACAAACAAACAAACAAACAAACAAACAAACAGACAGACAGACAGACAGACAGACAGACAGACAGACAGACAGACAGACAGACAGACAGACAGACAGACAGACAGACAGACAGATAGACAGATAGACTTACAAACAGACAGACAGACAAGACAGACAGACAGACAGACAGACAGACAGACAGACAGACAGACAGACAGACAGACAGACAGACAGACAGACAGACAGACAGACAGACAGATAGACTTACAAACAGACAGACAGACAAGACAGACAGACAGACAGACAGACAGACAGACAGACAGACAGACAGACAGACAGACAGACAGACAGACAGACAGACAGACAGACAAACAAATAAACAAACAAACAAACAAACAAACAAACAAACAAACAAACAAACAAACAAACAAACAAACAAACAAACAAACAAACAAACAAACCTTGGTAAACACATAAACAAACTAAAGGGCACTCGGAGACGGCATGTCTTAAAAGTTATGTATATCATGCATAAATTATACAAGCAAAGCAAGAAAATTTTTTTCCAATTTCTCATCAAATATTTTTTCTTCCAAATTTAAAAAAAAGTTTAATTAATTTGTCCTTGGACAATGTCTATTAGTCCCACAAATTTTTGTATTAAGTACTGTTTAAAAACGGGCAGGAGTGTTTTATTAGGTTTAATGTCACAAGCGCGCACTACAAATTCAATAGATATACTGCCTTATTAGTATTCTTTATATAAAGAATACTAATGAGGACACGACTACAATACATACTGCCTTATTAGTATTCTTTATATAAAGAATACTGATTAGGAGTGTTTTATCAGGTTTAAAGTCACTGCACGTGACATATTATGGTTGCCATGATGCCTAAGCGAAATTCGAATCGCTTTGATATTTATATTTGTGCATGAATTTGTTATTTTGTTAGTTTGTTCCAAATCATAAGACTAATACGTCTTAGCTTTGCGCTTGTGGTGCACTTGTTTTGCTCATGCTCCATGGCACCACACAGTAGTACATGGCACTGCACGGCAAAATTTTTTATCTATGTAAGTTATCGGGCTGGCAGCCAAACACACAACCGGACAAAAACATGTGTTTGTTTGTTTATGTTCGGAGGTAACAAGAAAAATCTAAGAAAAGAAAAAAATAGCATGTAAGAAGGTAGAGAAATAAAGGAGGAAAGGGGTGTGGGAGGATGAATGGATCGATGGATGGAGGGAAGGAAAGAATGAATAAACAAAGAAAGGTAGGGACGAATCTTGGATGGAAAGAAGGTAGGGGAAAAAAGCAATTAAAAAGGCGCATTAAGAAGGAAAAGAGGGTGAGAGAAATAGAGAAAAGAATGAAATAGGAAAGGTGAGACAAAAAGGCATCAGACTTCAAACGAAGAAAGTTACTTACTCATTCCATTTACTGGAGGGTAATAATACGCATTGACCTCAAGAGGCGACTCTAAGAACCTGTCAAGAATCAAGAAAAGAAAAAAAATTGCATTAGTTCGTTCTGACAAATTTGATAAAGATAGAAAAGATGATTTTGAGCGTCGTATGGTGCTTCTAATTGGACTTTTTCTTGTTCATCTTGAATTCTAGGATGTTCTAGCCGGCCAAATTGGTGTGACTCATTATTTATTCACTTACAAATTTAAGAATATGACAGACCATTTATGACCAAATTCTATGCAGACAATATGCTTTCCGTCCCACCATAGCCTACCGAAGGGAAGATGGCTGTGAAACTCATTAGAATAACAATATAACTCATTATCTTTGTGTCAACGTTTATTCATAAATCTGGTCGTTTCACCGTCACACGTGTGTATTGTATTTTTACCAAAACCACCAATAGCAATTTCCAGTTTCCCTATTGTTCGAGTCACGGATAGGTGACTTTCCTAAACATTGTTATTGGTTAGTTGGGAAAGAATACAATACACACGTGACGGTGAAGGACCAGATTTATGAAGAAACGTTGACCGACATAGATAATGAGTTATATTGTTATTCTAATGAGTTTCACAGCCATTTCCCTTCGTTAGGCTATGATCCCACAAAAACCAGGTATGGGAAAGGGTAGGAACCTTTCAACATGTCAGCGGCACCACAGTTGATTTGTGCTGGTCACAACTGTATGGTCGCTATTGGCTTCATTTATACATAGCAAAGGCACTATCCAGTTCTAGTTTTCAGATCAGTTTGTATAACACTGCGAGCTCTATACAGGTTGTATATTAAAAAATAAACGGAGTCCTCACATAAAGTGTAAATTTCAAAGCAAATATGAAAGTTAGACGTTTATACTTGCATTCTTTCGAAATCGCGATTTTTCGGCTATTTTATGTACTTTATTTTATAAAATTTGGAGTTATTGCTGGCGAGCTGTGTCAATTTAAGTAAGTGCAATTGGAAAATTAAAAAACGTAGATGTATTGAATTCACAATTTATTCAAACGTTCCAAAAATAAGTTGGAAATACACATTTACTCAACGTGGCCTCCATTTCTAAGTTTACAGAAGTTCGTTTTTTGTCTCATATCCAAGACAAGTCTTCTTCTTCCCGAGTTTACTTTATTTCGATTTAAACTTTATGGGGGGTTCTTCCATCCAATGCATATGCAGCCGGTATTTGTTGACATTACGCCAAACGCTCGATGAAGATTACGTGTCTTAACACTGCAACAACGCGGGACTTCGAAAATTATTATTTCGAAACATCTAAAAACGAGCGCTTGTACTAAATTCTTTTTATTGCAATTAGCCTTAGTTCAAAATTTTCAAGAAACCCTTCATTCGAAAGATGAAAAAACAAGCTTTAAATTGAGCACAAAACGAAACTATGGTAGTTTATTTTACGATAGAAATAAGGATATTTAGGACGACTCCGTTTTTTTTATACGCCCTGTACATATCTGGAGCAAAAATCTGCGTCGAAAAAGTGAAGTCCAGTGCCAGCCCCTTTCTACTGCTGTTGACGATGTGATGCTACAAGAAGTGCATGTGCCAAATAAAATAATACTATGGTTTTATGAAATGATAACATGATTTGCGATATGATCTGTGGTAAAAACTGGACTCAGCTTGGATAAGCAGTATGTAAACTGTTTATAATCTTCATAAGCACTGGACGTCAATTTGCGCCATCTTAGCTTTCCTTTTTCCATATGCTGAATGACCTACGTTTTTACTCCTGACGTTCGTATTCCAGATGTATATAGAGCTCATTGGTATAACATACTTCTTGTCATCAGGAAGCCTTCCCAATGTATCTAGTTTCTTCATAGCATTATCTCTTATAAAACTCAACTGGTTTTGCAAAAGTTGAGATTTACTGACATCAACCTGGAAAGTAAATTACAGTATACACAAGTAGATTATATCACACGGAATATTTGACAAGAAACTAAACAACAAGCACTCACATTCTCATAAAACTTGTTAAGCTTGCCAGGATCTTTTATAAACGGTGGATAACCAATGTTTTTCCTCATCTTATCCAGCTATTATGTATAAAACGATTTATTAAAAGATTATTGTACATAACAGTCAGTTGCACAGTACAGTTCACATACAATGTACTTCTAGTTGAAAAGGTTATACTGCAAGTCTTTTAGATTGAGTAATGCGCTAACGTGCAAAATACAACAGCGAAATACTGATTAGACAAAAGAAAATTTTATATTTTAATTTACAGGCAAAAACAGATGAAAACACATTACATCACTAACGTGACTAACCTTAAGGTGCGCCTGAGCGCGGGTTGCGTCATCCATCCAATCTTGTTCTTTCAAGCCATTAATAAACTGATTCTTTATCTCGGTAAATAATTCTCCCACCTATGAAAAACAAATTATTATTAAATGTAGTCACCTTAGTTTTCAAACAGGTGTATTACGAACCTCAGGCTCAGAAAATATATACTTGACTTTTAAATTCTAATCCTATAATACTATTCTAACACTATTCTAATTTTACTCATTCTATTCTAATTCTATTCTTATTCTAACTCGATGTATTCCAATTTTACTCTAATTTTATTCTATTTTTATTCTATTTTTATTCCAATTTTATTCTAATTTTATTCTAATTCTATTCTAATTCTATTCTAATTCTATTCTAATTCCATTCTAATTCTATTCTAATTCTATTCTAATTCCATTCTAATTCTATTCTAATTCTATTCTAATTCTATTCTAATTCTATTCTAATTCTATTCTAATTCTATTCTAATTCTATTCTAATTCTATTCTAATTCTATTCTAATTCTATTCTAATTCTATTCTAATTCTATTCTAATTCTATTCTAATTCTATACTAATCCTATTCTAATTCTATATTGGATATCCTGTTAGCGATGTGCCGGATTCGGATAATTGCATTAAATAAAATGTACCCGGATATTTACCGGATAATACTGGAACTTTTATTAAAATCATGAAACCTAAAAAATGTTTCCTTTGTCTTTTGTATGTATTATGAAACATGATATGCAGTGTTAAAAGGACTACAAGTCTGTATTAAGCTCAATTATGTTCTAGGTTAATACTAAAAGGTGGCCTTCACGCCATGCTTTTTAAAACACAACAACTTACGTATGCGCGCCCGCTTGGACTCCCGACTGCGGGCTCAAAACCGAATATCAACATGCAGGAAATGTTTTCGAGATATAAACAGCTCTCTGCCCTTGATTTCCCGCAGACCCATTGCCACAGATATTAGATAAAGCACATAATGAAACAATATTGAACAAGTACCACGCTTAGTATCCGGTTACTACCCAAATATCTAGTATCTGTTTATCATTTTTCCCTAACCGTTATCCAGTAGACTACCATCCGGAATCATTTGGTATCTGGCAAAACAGTATCTGCCACATGTTAAATACGTGCGAACAAAACCCTTGTCTCTAAAAAGCACATATTAAATGCAGACCTGTTTTCGAGCACACGTATTATGAGCTTCATTATCTGGTAACCACACCCTATATAATCGATATCAAATTACCTGTTATTATTATCTTTAATCCTTACCGTTTCCATGGCTTCTTCTGACACATATTCATTTACATATAGCAATGTTGTAGCATATTCAAAAGCACGGTTTGTTAATGTGCAACATGTTTCCCATCTGTCTATCGGGTGCTCTACACCATAATCTTTTTTGTATTTATCATATGCATCTCTAAATGCCACAGGCAATGTTGATATCAGCTCTCGGATGGCATTCCACATTATCGCATTGGCGAGTAAACTAATAAATAAATATGAAATAAATATAAAACTAATTTGACATTTCTTAGAGGAAGTGTTGCAACGCAAAGTGGTGTTTTGAGTGAAATTTGCCATTTTCAAAAATGGAAAAAATACAAACTTTAAACCCTACTTAATCATATTTGTATCATTTTATTGCTCACTTCCCTTGTGGTCGTTTGAGCACTCTGGCCCCAATACGCTCTGCGCATGTCTGGATGCGTTGAGTCACCGTGTTGTACCACATGCCTTGGTGAGAGCAAGTTCATGGGGTATAAATACGAGTGTCTCACGTATCTAGACGTGTACCATGCTGCACTGACGAGGCGTTGAACGCCAAAACATGCATGTATGTCTGCAGATTGTACTCTATATATATATATATATATATATATATATATATATATATATATATATATATATATATATATATATATATATATATATATATATATATAGATCAATTTTGCATTCTGATTGGCTAACACCATATTGTCTAAAAATAACCGAACTTGACAGTTGACAATAACAATTCAACATTTGTATTTTTATGATTCTTGTGTGTACGAGTATCTTTTGCAAAATAATCTTTCAAAATGAGACGTTTTCCCGACTGCATGATTTACTTTCGCCTCGGCCAGTTACAAAACTCAAAAGCCGTGTCGACGTGAGCTGAGACGTGAGCCTGATAAAACAAGAAACGTCTACTATTATTTGAGCCGTAGTTTTCCCTGTACAGTATTTATAATGTAGTGCAGATGTCTGATGAAATACTACGCGTATTGCATTGTAGTAATATTTTAATTTACAATGTTCTGTACTGACAAATAAAAGCAAGACAAACAATTAAATGAAACTACTAAATTAATTTAGGCCCTGTTTACTTAATAGCTCTACGCTTTGGCCGATGTAGTCCCTATTCGTCACGCCGAGTTTCACAGTTCCAGAATACTCCGAATACTTGAAAATTGCGAATATACGATAAAATAAAACAAAGATTGTGAAGGGGATAAAATTTGTAGACAAGCATTGCTCCTGAACGGCAAGTGTTGATGTCCAGCGAAACAAGCGAATCCGTATATTCCTGTTCAGCGTGTAAACAGGTTACGCGAGGCTTTATATTTGTGTTTATTTATATTGAACTAAGTCAGATCTAGGCATATAAGAGCATATTTAAACTAAATATTAATTATAGCAATAGCCATATTGTTCAAGACGAGAGAAAGGAAATTTCGTGTGAATCACCACTTGCATGGAGACGCCTAGATGCAGCTTGGATGCAGCTTTGCCTGTATAATTGAAAATCTCCAGAAATATCGGTATATCTTAGAAAACATAGACGGGATCTTCATAGATTTTAGCTGATTCGTGCCAAACTTCGCTCTACGCATAAATAATATCGATTGAGAAGTCTTTTGGCTATTTATTTGTTTCGAAGACTTGTATATTTCATTAAAGAATATCTCTCCACTCCTTGACGAGTAGCTGTCAAATACTGCCATTTTTTGTCGTCACGTGACCGGCCCAGACCAGGGCTTCCTCGTGTCTCGCCTCGTCCTCACACTGAAGCCCTGTGAACGAGGTTATATATATATATATATAAGTCAAATTATTAGATATGAACGGAATCGGTGTAGGATTGTATTTACTTCCGGTTGTTAATATGGAAATTGTGCCAATAATAGTCGAAAGTGTCGTTGCACATGGGTGATTTCATTGAATTTTCTGATAGTTTATAGTTTGAGGATGATTAAATCAAACAAAAAGATATTATATTTTCTCTTGTGAAACTCAATACCGTGCATTGCGCAAGATTGGATGCATTTTTCCGGTGGTATTTCTTGGAATACCAGTTTCATGGAACTAGGTAAACCGGAACCCATTTGTATTTTTATTTTATTATCATTTGCCAAATTCGTGCTTATCAAACGACAAACAATATAAGGATAATATATAGCAGAAGAAATGCCAAGATTTTCTGAATGCTGGCGTTGTGGTAAACCTTCCGCAACTGTAATTTGCCGTTCTTGTGATGTCGCAAAGTACTGCAGTAACAATTGCAAAGAAAACGACATCGCAAGGCACAATGACGCTGAATGTCGCCCAGCATCTATTGTAGATACATGTTCATCATGTCGTAAGACTGGTTCTTTACTGCAAAAATGCACTGGCTGTTACCGTGCTTTCTATTGCGACCCGACATGTCAGAAGAATCATCGACATGAACACAAGGTAGAGTGCAAACGTACTGTAGAAAAGATAAAAACACTGGCTGGGTCTCTTGACCTTTACTTCCCTCCAAATTTTGCTCGAGGTTGCATTGTACATTATTACTGGGGCAATGTGCCCGCGTATGATTACTTAAATTTGTCAGAAAACGAAGGCGTTGACTACAATTCAACTATGAATCTTTTGGTCCTTGGTGTTGGCGATTTACGAAATGTCGTGATGACTTGTGCCTCGTTGCCTGAAACTTTTACAAGCAAGGTCAAGTTTACTTTAAACGACTCAGACAGATGTGTTTTGGCAAGATTGGTTTTGTTGCTCTACATGATGATTAAATGTAAGTTTGTAGCGTCGCATACGTTGAAGGTCGCATGTCTGCAATAAATTATTGTGGTTTAGGTTGCAAATATATATATATATATATATATATATATATATATATATATATATATATATATATATATATATATATATATATATATATATAAAGCCAGTTTCAACCAAAATTTAATTTTGTATACAGTATATAGCCCATATGTATTGTGCGAATTTCCGGAATAGAATTAATTAAAATATTAAGCAAACATGTATAGACAAAGCTCGATGTTGCAACATCTTGGGGTATTTTTAGAAACGTGGGCGTTCAAGGTCGTTCGAAAGTCAACTAGCTCATAGGGGGCCCAATCTTACCCTGTGTTATTAATTTATTACGTTATATCTTTATATAAATAGTATATTGAAAATCATTACAATATCCTGTGTTATTAATTTATTACCTTATATCTTTATATAATAGTATAATGAAAAGCACTTACACGTGTTTCCTGAAAGATTTTAACGAGAACCGGCCAAGATTGGCGTCGACAAGATGCTAACGGCCATAGTTGGGGTTGACATGAGGATTAACAGCAAGAAATAATACAAGGCTGGTCACTTTGACCGTTAATTGGACTAATTGGGACAAACGCTGACAGAAATCAATCGAATAACGCGAACTTCGGCTGTCGCATCCTCGCCAAATTACGTTACATCGGAAGAGCGATAATTTTTACATAACAGGTCATTCGCTAACTCCCCAAACGTTCGCTTTCTTACCGGAAATGTCCTGTTGTTGTTTTGAAAGCCGACCAATGACAATGCAGCGTGTCGAATTTGAAGGCCATGAATTCATACCGGGCACAAACCTCGGAAGATTAGACATTTGTAAGTTTCAATTGGCATTTTCTCCAGGAAGATTATTGTTCAATTCTGTTAAAGAAAAGTATATTATGTAAATATTATCGCTCTTCCGATGTAACGTAACAGATGCGACAGCCGAAGTTCGCGTTATTCGATTGATTTCTGTCAGCGTTTGTCCCAATTAGTCCAATTAACGGTCAAAGTGACCAGCCTTGTATTATTTCTTGCTGTCAACCCCAACTATGGCCGGTTAACATCTTGTCAACGCCAATCTTGGCCGGTTCTCGTTAAAATCTTTGAGGAAACACATGTAAGTGCTTTTCATTATACTATTATATAAAGATAGAACGTAATAAATTAATAACACAGGATTTTCTAAATTTTTTCAATATACTAATTATATAAAGATATAACGTAATAAATTAATAACACAGGGTAAGATTGGGCCGCCTGCGACTAGCTAGGCGAATTTGTTCGCGCGAAGCGACTTTTCTGTAAGCATTCCTTTTACTGGCGTGACAAGGAACAGACAGATGCCGACAAAGGCAAACGTCACTTTGCGCGGAAAAATTTCCCTAGTGGAAAACGGGTTTTAGGCTTTAGGCTGAGTGGCTGACGCTAATATTATCCAGAGTTTCTTATATAACGCCAGGACACCTTACTGCGCGCTCCATACTAATTCGATTGATATTTATGAAATTTTCTCCAAGTGTTGATAACTACATGCAAGTTATCAGAAATCTGTGAAATTGACATTAAGTAAAAATATTACATGAATTATTTTGTAAAAAAAATACAATCACGCTATCTTCTCTATGCTCCTGACAGAAAATGTAATTTTTAAACAACCAAATATTGCCGTTCTAAATGGGGTGTTTGTATTTTTCTATTTATTTTTCCGCTTGCTTGATGTAGCTATTCTATTTCTGTAAAATTGATAACCTTTTCTACTCGATCAGGTGGAGCTGTATGGTGGCCGAGCGTTGCCACTTAAAAATTTTCAGTTTTTTACAAATTGAAATTCAAAAAGTAAAGATAATTAAAGTAAAATAAAATAAAATGTTAATGTAAAAGTAAATGTAAATACCACTTACAAACTCAAATAAAGTTGGTTTTTTTTCATTTGAAATGCGAAAGCTAAAGAAATTTAAAATAAAAGTTCATTCCAAATACAACTTCAACCGAAAACTAAAGTTATATTCAAAGTGAAATGCAAACAAAAATAAAAGTAAATTTCTCTGTGGCCGAGCGCTGCCACTACCATGATGCAATGCGCGTGTGACAAATTTTTTTGCCTGCAAGAAATTTTGGCCGAAAATCGAAAGGCGATGCCTGTGGAGGAGGCTACGGGTATTGCAGGCTGAAAGGATTTGTTTGGTTTGTATCGATTTTTCGCCAAGCATCAATGGTTCAAGCAAGGTTCTCTTTCAAGTTTAAATTTTTTTAATGTATTAATGTCGGACGTAAGAGAGGCGTTGTGGAAAAATGATAATGATCTTCAAGAATCCATGGTAAAGTGTGTTGGCCAAAACCTTCAAAGACGCGAAATTCTGGATTTTTTAACTCGTGACTTCCCGCAATATACATGGAGTCTTAGATCACTGGACCGAAGACTCCGTCATTTTAACTTATATTTCGAAGATAATAGCGTGACAGTAGATGAAGTCATCCAGGCGGTTGAAACTGAACTAAAAGGACCAGGAAGATTATTGGGATATCGCGCAATGCACAAGAAAATTCGGCAAGAACATGGCCTAAATGTTACCCGTGATCAAGTTTACGATGTTATGTATTAATTGTCCCCGAAGGTCTCGAAGAAAGAGGCGGCGTCTGTGGAAAGAAACAACGAAAGAAAGGCAATTTCACCACAAAAGGAACTAACTGGGTCCACTCACTCGATGGCCACGATAAGCTAATGGGATATCAAAATTCTACTTTGCCATTAGCTATATGGTTTCCTGGATACAGCAAGCCGAAAACGTCTCTGGCTTAGAATATGGGTAAGGAAATAGCGACCCCGAAATAATTTGACGATGGTATCTGGTGCATCTCTACGAAACAAAGATAATTTCAGCCGTTCTTAGAGCAGACAAAGGGACTGAAACAGGGGTAATGGCCATGATGCATTCATTTCTAAGGAGGTATCATGGAGACATGGATCCACACGAGACAGTTATTTATGGGCCTTCAACATCAAATCAAGTAAGTTTTAATTAATATCGGCAGAAACTCTCAGATATAATCAGTGAAAGTAGAGGGGAAATACCCTGTAATTATCAGAATACTCCTGAGGCACAAAATAGATACAATCATACAGAAGGTTGACTCAGCCAAAAGAGCGTTACCGCTGTCACGCCATGATTCAGAATGTTTTGTCATCAAAATGCTGATGCCATGGTTCTAGTCAAAGTGCTTATGAGAAGTATTCACCGCCATGGACATCTGCCCATTTTGAATATTTTAAGGGGATGAATGCCTATCATAAGCACACTGGTTAGGACCATGGTGTCAGCACTGCAACGGTTACACCAAAATCAGAGGCAAAACCAGGAAGTTGACCTTCTGTATGCATCTATTCTGTGCCTGAGATTTGTATTACCAGGTATACTGTATAATACACAGTATCTGTATTGGATAAACACCAGAAAATTGATCTCACTACCCCCTTATTATTTGAATTATGTTTCTTGCTGGCTGAAGTATGAAAGAAGTGAGAAACAGGTTTCTCATACTGGGGGCCCCAAGGCAAGGTTCTATGCCCTTATATTATTATAGGCATAATTTATGTTATAAATTATAGAGTAATTAGGTATTAATTATGGACACATCCGGGTAATGGATTACTATATAAACAAGAACGAACTTAGATATTAGGTTATATCAAAATACGTACACACTTGTAAAGATCGAAAGTTAGTGATTAACAATACTTTTATATGGTGTCAGGAGTGGGATTTGTGCTGTTTATTAGCCTTAGCTAGGCTAACGGCATAAAGACACTAATTCAAACCAAAGTAATTTGCTCTGGTATACGAGAAAAAAGCCGATTGAGTTTTCAATTCAAATATGGCGACAAGCGGGGCATACATTGACAAAGGTCCTTCTATAGACTGGAGCACGGATGACAACATATATGGCCGCTTTAAAATGTGGAAGCAAAGATGGGAACTGCTACTCACGGGCCCGATGGCAACAATGTCAGAAGAAGTGAAATGTAAACATTTGTTATACTGGTCTGGCGAACGTGGCATGGAGCTATTCAACAGTTGGGACTTGTCAGCAGAAGATCAGAAAAAGCTAGTCAATTATTGGGAGAAATTTGAAAACTACGCAAAGCCGCATTCAAATGAACTGCTTGCAGTTTGGGAACTGCATAACCTTCGGCAAGGTATGTTATCTCTTGAAGATTTTATCACTAAACTAAGGATTCTCATTAAAGAAGCAAACTACCCAGCCGAACACTATGATCGATTCCTTAGAGACTTCTTAGTCCTCGGAATTAATTCTGATCGTGTTCGAAAAGATTGTTTTAAGGAAGGGAACACCCTGACATTTAGCAAAGCCAGGGAAATGGCAAAAACCGATGAGTCGGCAGAAAGACAACTGCAATTAATGAATGCTAGTGAAGTAAATAACATTGCATCAATTAGGGACAAAAGATATCAAAACCGAAGAAATCAAGTTAGACATAACCCTAGGTCTGGGCAACAGTGTAGGAACTGCGGTCGGGGATCACATTCTCAAGATCAGTGTCCTGCCAAAAACATGACATGCCACTACTGTCAGAAAGTAGGACACTTTGCTAAAGTATGTTTGGCAAAGTTAAGGAATAAGAATGTACATGAAGTTGAAGCCATTGCTGATAATATACAACAAAATCAGCTGCAATCACCTCGTGTGGGAGAGGAACAATTTGTATTCCTAGGACCAATTGTTGCCACACCTTTGGCTGCTCAAGTGCATAGTGTGTCATGCAAGGAGAAAGCATTATTAGAAGTTTCTATTTCCCTGAATAATGAAGGGATGCAATCGCATGTTGTATGCAAAATAGATTCTGGTGCCGAGACAAATATTTTGCCCATGTCCATATATCAACAGTTGAAACATGAATCACATAAGTTAGGAAAGCCTACAATGAAATTGACGGCTTATGGTGGGGCTGAACTACCAAACCTGGGATCATGCTTTGTCTTTGTAAAGGTACCGGATATCCAGAAATTATGGAAAATCCAGGTGCAAGTTGTTGATGTTAATGGCCCTATGATAATTGGCAATAAGTCTGCACAAAATTTGGGTCTCTTAAAGCTCAATTGGGCCATTTATGTTGGGAATTATGATAATAGCTTTGACAGACACATCAGTAACACCAGTGCCACCACCAGTAACCAACCCAGCAGTAACCATCAACCACCAGTATCAACAACCATGTCTCATCCACCGTTATCGACCGCCAGACCACCACCTAAAGTATCGGCCAAGCAACTCAACAGTACCACAACTAGCCTCCTTGATGATAACCCTCCAGATGTGCGGGGGAAACGTCCTTTTCCACTAACCAAAGAGTATCTTTTAGAGGAGTACTCGGATGTGTTTACAGGAGTCG